GTTGCTTTTTCAAACTCCAAGATCTCAAGTTTCCTCGCAAATATACACAATATCCAGAAGTTAACCTTTTATTATCAACATCAATTTCCTACTTAGCTTTTAACGATAGACCATGATCAATGAGATCTATTAGATATCTAAATATTCTTTTAATTGCCTTCCAATGTATATACAATGGTTTTGCAGTAATCGACAAACTTTATCGATACAATGAGATATATCTAAGTCCTGGTTATAATCTCTATTTTAAAATCTGAACCGGATCGACTGGTCCAACTGGTTCAACGGAAAATCGACCTTCACTTTGATCTGGTTATTCCTAAAGCCCGATCATTGTATTTAAACCAGATTGAGCTGGTTATGGATCGGTGGAATAGTACCAAACCTTTGGTCCACCCAGCTCGGTAGCTAAACCGGGTCAATTAAAAGCATAATCCCTAAAAACAAAACAATCTCACATCATCCAATTATGCTTTGCATCCTTCAATATCTTCAATCTTGATTCTTCACTCTAAAGAGGATCGAATCCAAATCCTAAATCTCCAACAAAGCCAACAACTGAAGAAATAGAATAAAGCTTGAAATTTTGTTACATTCTTCAATCTCACCTTATTCAATCTCGACTTAAAGCCAAATCTTACCTTCTTCTTCATCAAAATCCAATTAAAATCTCAATCAAAATCTCATTTGTCTCTATAAACTTACAATCATACAACAACTGAAGAAATAGAATAAAGCTTGAAATTCTATCAGCCAAGTAAATCGACCTTACATGCTAGGATCTCACTGAAAATTTTCTCACGCAAACATGATTGTTTTCACTTTCTATTAAAAAAAAAAAAAAAAATTTGACCTCCTCTGTTTCTATTTTAACCTTTAATATAACCTTATCACCAAATCTTCAATATATGACATATCATTGCCATTAATGAATTTTCTATCAATCACTTTTCTTTGAAAACAACATTTTTTTTTTAACCTTATTACCCTTGGTTTATGATTTCACTAGTCCAACTGGTCGGTCCAACCAACCGATCGAACCAAGACCCGACCAGTTGACCGGTCACCCCTTGAGTCAGGTTTTAAAACAATGGTTAAAATAATAGAATGTAAAGCTCCAACTATGTTATGTAAAGAAAAATTGTTTTCAATAGGCTAACTGCTAAACTACACAAGATGCATGTTTCAAGCAAATGCATATTGAATTCTTATTGTTCGTAGAGGCAGGTTGTAAGAGTTTTGATAGGGTTGACATCAAAAATGGCCAGAGAAGGAAATACAAAGGGACGAAGGAGGAAGAGTTAGATGAGTTTTTGGACACCACTGATGCAGTTGGAGCTTATATTTTTCAACACATCGGTTGGGAAGTTGCAGGATGGATGTGAATGAGGAAGAGAATGCTGTAAGATTTGAATGGCTAAAGATGGGTAGCTAAAGGCTTATTTGCGTGTGAGAATCCAATGATCACACTATTCACAGCACGACCTATTGCATTTCCATGAAGATTGCATAGGTATTGCTCAAACATAAACCATTGGCACAGAAATGCTCTTGAAAATCATTCACCTCTTTACATTTGGTATTAAAGTTATACAATAAGAATACAACATCCGACTGTGTATCTGATAAACCTGCGGTGCATAAGGTGTACACCCTTAAGGGGCGTAATAGACATTAAGAAGGTTGTTATGGTGTAGGGTCCACAAATCACAGGTGTAGGGTGGGTAGGAGTCTGTGATGAGAATAAGAATTGTGTGAGTAAGGGCAATTGTGGAAAGGGTTAGTATATAAGCAGGATGAGTCTCAGTAGCAGTTAGTTTTTTGGATGATCAAATAATGGAGGTTCCTGTCTCCTCGAAATGCTAGGATTTATGGTTACAAATTCATTTCATTCCATTATCTTCTGATTCCATTTTTTTTCTGCTATCTAATTAATATAAATATAGCTGAGGTTATACAGATTGTGTTTCTTGCATTATTTTTGTTGTGGATTGGTTGTGGATTGGGTCTGATTGCATGTGATCCTATCATTTGGTATCAGAGCCAGAGTGGGGAATGATAAAATCCAAAATGGAGAATAGGATGGATAACGTGGAGAAGGAGATGAATACAATAAAGGAAGACACAAGTACCTTGAAGATTGACATGGGTAATGTTAAGGAATATTTGACAGAAATGAGGGAATTAATGCGCATGAGAGAAGAAAGAGATGGAAGAAGAGACCTAGAAAGAGAGAAATCCTCTTCATCAGCAGAGAACCAGAATACCGGGGGAGAAAAGGAACCAGATCGAGGAGATAGTAGGGAAGTTGGGAAAGAGCAGAAACAGAACACGCAAGCTGGAGTTGCCAATCTTCAATGGTGAAGATCCATATGGATGGTCCTTCAGAGCAGATCGTTACTTCACCATCAATCGTTATCAGGAGACAGAGATGGTAGAAGCAGCAGCAGTTTGCATGGAGGGGAGAGCTCTGAGCTGGTATCAATGGGTAGAATCCAAAGCACCATTTCAGTCATGGGATGCATTCAAAACAGCACTGATTGATCGATTTCGACCATTATTTAAGGGATCTGCCTATGAGGCCTTAGTAGCCTTGAAGCAGGATGGGACAGTCACAAAGTACCTAGAACAGTTTGAAGCCAACGCTGCACCATTGAAGGATCTAGGTGAAGATCTGTTAAAGGGGATTTTTGCAAATGGGTTGAAGGAGGAAATTAAAGCTGAAATCAGCTAACTTCATTGTTTGGGTTGATGGACCAGGCCCACAGGGTGGAAGAAAGGAATTGGGTGTTAGAAAAGTATAGGCCAAATCATTTAAAAATCAAATGGGTAGAGGGGAGCCTTATTCACGGGTCAGCCCAAACCCAAATACCTCATGCCCAAACTGGTGGAATACCAGCGCAAAGTCCCCAAATCCCCTTTCGTTTTCGTCAAACTCCAATAAGGGACCTGAGCGAAGGGAGAAATCGACAGAGTTTGTGGGGTTTAGTAACTGGAACGACAAATTTCAACGACTCTGCGAGGCCGAAATACAGTTCAAAAGAGAGCGTGGGCTGTGCTATCGTTGTGACAAAAAATTTGGGCCAAACCACAGGTGTAAGAACATATCTCTACAAGTGCTACTCCTCCTGGATGATGAAGATGCAAACCCACCAAAAATTGAGACAGAAACTGACGATGAACCCAAACGTGAAGGTAAATCTTTAGCTCTTTCGATGAACTCCATCGTGGGTATCTCTTCGGGAAAAACTTTGAAGTTAAAAGGGTAGATTGGGGATGAGAGTGTGATGGTGTTGGTGGATAGTAGGGCTTCCCACAATTTCGTTTCCTATGAGATTGTACAGAAGCTAGCGCTGAAGGTGGAAAAGGGAGACCCTTTGGAGTAATGGTAGGGGATGGATGTACCATTCGGGGAGAGGGAATTTGTAAGGCAGTTAGGCTGAAACTCCAGGGGCTTGAGATCCAGCAGGAGTTTTTCCCGTTTGAATTAGGAGGTGCAGACATCATGTTGGGAATTACATGGTTGAGTAGTTTGGGAGATGTGAGTTCCAATTGGAAGAGTCTAACGATGGAGTTTGAATGGGAAGGAAAAAGGGTTAAGTTGCGAGGGGATCCTTTACTGGTGAAAACTGAAGTCTCACTGAAGACTATGGTCAGGTCCTTGCATTCTACGGGAACTGGCTACGTAGTGGAGTTTGGAGCCATAAGGTTGAAGGAAGATTCAAAGCAGGAGGAAACTAATCCTAAAATAATAGAGGTGATAGAAACTTATCCCCATTTGTTTGACCAGAATCCTAAACTACCTCCCCATAGGGTCCACGACCATGCCATAGAACTCCAATCAGGTTCCAAACCCCCAAACATCAGACCATACAAATATTCGTACTTTCAAAAGAATGAAATCGAAAAGCTGGTTGGGGAAATATTGACTGCTGGGATTATTCAACCTAGTGTTAGCCCGTATGCCAGCTCTGTTCTATTAGTCAAAAAGAAAGATGGGAGTTGACGATTTTGTGTGGATTATTGGGCATTAAATGACATTACGATACCCGACAAATTCCCAATTCCGACCATTGAAGAGTTACTTGATGAGTTGGCTAGGGCTACGATGTTCACAAAACTGGATTTAAAGTCAAGATACCACCAAATCAGGGTATGAGATGTTGATGTTCCAAAGACAGTTTTCCGCACTCATGAAGGGCATTATGAGTTCCTTGTTATGCCCTTCGGACTCACTAATGTCCCCTCAACATTCCAAGCTTTAATGAACTCAGTGTTTAGGCCTGTCCTACGCAAATTCATCCTGGTTTTCTTTGATGATATCTTTATATATAGCCTTAGCATCTCCACCCACATCCAACATTTCAGATTTTGAAGGAACACGAGTTGGTTGTTAACAAGAAACAATGTTCGTTTGGCCAATCTAAGCTAGAGTATTTGGGTCACCTGGTCTCGACAAAGGGAGTGGAGACAGATTCGAAAAAGATTGAGGCCATGGTGTCTTGGCCACAACCACTGAATGTGAAGGGTTTGAAAGGATTTCTTGGATTGACAGGTTATTATAGGAGATTTGTAAAAGGGTATGGTTCCATCGCACAGCCCCTTACTCAACTACTAAAAAAAGACTCCTTCACTTGGAATGACTCAACCCAATTGGCTTTTGATAGACTCAAGGAAGCCATGACTACTGTACCAGTTTTGGTAGTCCCAGATTTCACACTTCCATTTGAGATTCAGACAGATGCATCCGGTAGAGGCCTTGGGTTTATTTTGGTGCAGTAGTCTCGCCCCATAGCCTTCGTCAGCAAGGCCTTTTCCCCTACAGCCAAGCTTAAATCGGTTTACGAGCGAGAATTGATGGCCATTGTCTTTGCGGTCAAGAAGTGGAGCCACTATTTGCTCGGCAGGAAATTCATAATAAAACTGATTAGCGCAGCCTCCAATTTTTAACGGACTAGAGATCAAAAACCCTAGAACAACACAAGTGGATTTCCAAGCTCATGGGGTTTACCTTTGCAATTCAGTACTATCCAGGGGCTTCAAATAGAGTGGCAGACGCTCTTTCAAGAAGAGAATACGGGACTGAATTGGCCAACCTGACAGCCTTATCTATGGTACAATTTTCAAAGTATGAGGACATGGCATCGGAGGCACAAACTAATCCGAAACTACGGGTAATTTTACAGGACCTTCTCCTTGATTCTTCTAGTCAACCCAACTATCAACTCCGCAGGAGCTGCCTATTCTATAAGAACATGCTGGTAATTCTGAAAGGGTTCAGGTTTGTTTCAACATTACTTGTTGAGTTCCACCAGAGTCTCAGTGGAGGACACTCAGGTTTCTTCAGAACATATAAGAGGGTGTCATCGGTGGTTTACTAGGATGGTATTCGCGGAGATATACAACGCTATATCAAGGCATGCACTACCTGTCAACTAAACAAACAGTTGTCGTTAAAACCAACCAGACTCCTACAGCCCCTGCCCATTCCAAATCAGGTTTTTGAGGATCTCTCTAAAGAACTTTATCAGGGGACTACCACGTTCAAAAGGAGTGGACACCATTTTTGTGGTCGTTGACTGCCTTACCAAATACATCCATTTATTTTGTCTTGGTCACCCCTACATGGCCAAGGATGTGGCTGCCATATTTGTTAAAGAAGTGATCAAGCTCCATGGCTTTCCGAATTTCATTGTTTCTGATAGAGACAAAATTTTCATGAGTCAATTTTGGCAGGAATTGTTCAAGGCTACTGGCACTGTCCTGAAATTTAGTTTGGCTTACCATCCACAAACAGATGGACAAATAGAGGTGGTCAATAGGTGCCTCGACGCTTATCTCCATTGTTTTTGCAGTTCTCAGCCACGATAATGGCCTATGTGGCTTACTTGGGCTAAATTCTGGTACAACACAACGTATCACGACTCCATCCGAATGACCCCCTTTAAAGCCCTCTATGGAAGAGATCCCCCCACTCTTTTAAAATTCACAAACTGCCCCTCAGCTATGGAAGATGTAAATGTCCAAATGAATGAGAGGAATTCCATGTTAAAGGAGCTTAAGGATAATTTAGCTTTAGCTCAAGCTCACATGAAGAAAAATACTGACCTTCATCGACGAGACGAGTGTTTCCAACTTGTGACTCAGTTTTTCTGAAGCTACAGCCCTACAGGTTTAAATCTCTTGCCCGGAAGATGAATGAAAAACTCAGTCCGTGCTTCTATGGTCTTTACACTGTTTTGGAATGAATTGGACCAGTGGCTTATAAATTGGACCTGCCTCCCACGGCCCATATTCATCCTGTCTTCCATATTTCTCAGCTCAAAAGGAGCTTACATCAATCGGTGCCCATCAAACCCTTACCGGAATCACTTTCTGAAGACCTAGAATTATTGGTCCAACCAACTGCAGTCCTCTTTGTGCGTACTCTCTTAGATGTCTCTAAGGAGGTCCTCATCAAATGGCAGAATCTACCTGAGTTTGAAGCCACCTGGGAACCGTATGAAGTGATTAAAACGCAGTTTCCTCAATTTCACCTTCAGGACAAGGTGACTCTTCAAAAGGGGAAGGGGGGGGGGGGGGGGGGGGGGGGGGGGGGGGGGGGGGGGGGGGGGGGGGGCGCGCGATATTGATAAACCTGTGGTGCATAAAGGTGTGCGCGATATTGATAAACCTGTGGTGCATAAGGTGTACACCCTTACGGGGCGTAATAGACATTAAGAAGGTTGTTATGGTGTAGGGTCCACAAATCACAGGCGTAGGGTGGGTAGGAGTCTGTTATGAGAATAAGAATTGTTTGAGTAAGGGCAATTGTGGAAAGGGTTAGTATATAAGCAGGATGAGTCTCAATAGCAGTTAGTTTTTTGGATGATCAAATAGTGGAGGTTCCTGGCTCCTCGAAATGCTAGGATTTATGGCTACAAATTCATTTCATTCCATTATCTTCTGATTCCATTTGTTTTCTGCTATCTGATTAATATAAATAGAGTAATACTACATTTACACCACTCATTACACAATTTTCATTACACCATAATGTGACATATCCTACATCCACACAAATTTTTAATTATTTTGAATTTTTAATATTATAATAAAATAATTATTAGTAAAATGGTGATGGTGTAATAAAAATGATGTAATGGATGGTGTAAATGTAGCATTACTCATATAAATATAGCTGAGGTTATAAAGATTGTGTTTCTTGCATTATTTTTGTTGTGGATTGGGTCTGGTTGCAGGTGATCCTATCAGTATCTTCATTGTATCATCTCAGAATCCTTCTATCTCCACTGAATGGAAATAGATGGCAAATAACTCAACAGTCTCGTTTAGGAAAATTTTCTAAATCGGTGTTTATTGCATTTCCTGGCAAGACCGTGTTTGCTCACAACTTTAAAACTCCATTTCTGAAATAAATGAACATCTGTACCAAAAACAAAAGAGAAATCAGTGGACGGAGAATATAACTGCAAAATTAATTGCAAGTATTTTGGTAGCGGTATAAAATATCTAAAAGAAACACCACAATTCTCTTAACCACAAAACAGTCAATTTTAAAAGGCAATATAAGAAAGTTTCACCCTTCCTGCTTCATCATCAGCAAATATTCAATTGATTCATTTCATCAAAATTCGTAAAAAGTATGAAGAATAGGAACAACAGGCTTGTATCATCGATTTGCTCATTTGACAGTTGGTTTAACTGCTTTCTCAGCAGCATCATCAAGATCTTCTGCTGTTATTAGTGTATAACAACTTTCCTGCAGAACCATTAGGGAAAATGAAGCTTCATAACAGAACCTTTAGTTTATGAAGTTTTATATCATATCAAAATTCTCATTCAAAAGATTTTTCACATCAGCTTGAATTCCATATTTACTTCAAGTATCTCTTTCGCTGGTCAACATCGGTGCCTTCAAGTCGAACTCCCACTAGTATTTTTTAGGGCGAACTTGTGTACAAGACCAAACAAAAATATTGCTATTAGTATAACTCCTGGAGACAATTGAAATATTCAACGCTGGCCATCACCAACAATTTTCCGTTGCTCTTTCCATTTTCACATTAGTGGAGAAAATAGGCCATCCTTCCACTTATTCCAAAGTTACATTCATAGAAAAAGTTTGGAATAAAAAGGTGAAAATTGTAGGCAATATTATAGAAGATGAGTAACTGACTGAAAGTACAAATTCAGGTACTGAAAAGGGCAGATAGTCCAGTACAATTTCATGCATTTAAAATGGTAAGAATTGGTTTACATAAAATCCAAAACAATTTAATGCACTGCTCACCTGTTTAGCGGTATTAACAATTCCGCTTGCAACTACATCACACTTCATTATTCCTCCACATATGTTTACCAAAAATTGCTTAGATTTTCTCCATGGAAGTTAATATTAAATGCCTCAGCTACCTGTTCCACAAAATTATTGAATAAAAAATGAATCCCAGATGGCACAAAGAAAAAATAAATACATTACTACTGGATGGTCAGACGAGCCCACTTATTCAAAATCATTGACAGAGCAGAATAGTAATACAATACAAGCAGTAAAAACAGAGTATTGAATCATTACCTGCCTACTGCGTCTAGAGAATTGTACCATTGCTAATCCAGCACTATTGACCATACAATTAAGTTTATGCTCAGTTCCATTAATGTGCCCTCACAAAAGAGTTAGCACAATTTCTTTCACTAGGCCTGCAATTGAAAGGATCCGCTTTGTTAAATGTATATTACCATTTAACTCTAGCAATTTGCAAGGTTTGATCCGATGGCTATGACAAATAAGTAGATGTTAAGCCCTTAGTTGCAATTTCCAATGAATTTTGTAGTGAATCAATGATTCAGAGAACTCAAAAACTTAGAAGAAAAGCCCTTAGTTGCAATTTCTAATGAATTTTGTAGTGAATCACTGATTCATAGACCTCAAAAACTTGAAAGAAATATAGCTGAAGTGTTTTGGCTTTAACTCACATTTTCTTACGATTTATTGTCCCATTATCAATTCCCGAACTTTCATACGTGAATAGTATCAATCATAATCATTCCCATTCTTTTTCATATTTTTATATTAAAATCCAAGTTTTAAGATGAATAAAGCAACAACAATCTAACATCTGTAGACTATAGTTTATCATAGAGGCTTACGATGAAGATTGGAAAGAAATATAATCTACTTATTCTATTAAGGCATTCTTCTAAGTTTTCACTTCTATTATTTTTAAAAATTTACAATACACCACTCTGATTTGCATCTGCTTAATGTTTGAATAGAAGCTCAGGCTTGATTGCTTCTTTGTTGTTTAATGGTAAAAATGTTTTAACATGTGAAATTACGAAAAAGTGGTTTTGGCTTGGAGTACTTTGCTTTCCAGTTTATACTTCATATTTTCCTCTCCCATATGGATCTATTTTTGTCTTGTTATCTTTTTAATAAAAGTATTTTCTCTTGATATGAGTAAATTTGGTCAAATTTAGCTCAAAAAAAGAATAAAACAAAAAGAAATCACAACCATATACAACAACGGTAATACTCGTTAAAAAGTTGGAGACAGTTATTAATGATGAAGGTAGGCTCAAAGTAAAATAGATTTGACCAAGATGATTCATGTGCATAGGAAATTTACATCTAAAAAAGTTGAATCCATATGACAAACATACCATGAAAATATATAAAATGAATAGAAAATAAATAAACGGAGTACTTGATTAAAATAAAACAAATACACATACTACTTACCAGCATAATTCATTTGCACATTAACAGTCTCCAAGGAAGATTCATGTGCAATATCATTTTGAGAAAGCTTAGGTGCTGTCGGCTTCTCCCTCGTATCAAGGAATGTCTCTGCATTTTCGAACATTTGCCTCCGCAGAACACCATGCACTCTACCAAGAAGCTGCTTCTTCAATGAATCAAAAGCCAAATCCAACCTCTAGCTGCTCCATTGCATTTACATTGTACATGAACAGACCATAATAAAGATCAAAGCTATCTCCAGCTGTGTGCTGCACCAATTTCAACAAAGTCTCATAGCCTTTAGTGTTAATTGGTGTCGACTCTAACCCCAACTTCTCCAAAATTCTTCCAATTGTCTACTTCTTGGTCAACCACTTGCAAACCTAATTTAGCAGTTAGCTGCCAAATGCAAGATGTCATGAGAAGAACAGGCTGAGTGAATCTATCTTGATAGATAATTTCATTTAATTAAAATAGAAAAATGGCCCACCCTTTATAACCGATATACTGTGTGAGAAAACTTCCAAAGACGATTTAGATTGCTATCAAATATTGGTGGGCAAGACAGAACAAATAGAAATTAGGGGCACAAATTTCTCATAACCATTGAACAAAAGTAAAATGGAACTGTGTAACAATAACCAACAATACCAAAAACCTTTTAGAACCAACTGATTCTACTGTTATTCAGAGTGCATTTCGCTTTTCATTTAGTCAATTACAGGAGATATAATGATATGAAAACATATGGGTAGAGGAAATTACAGGAGATAAATGAATAGTACCTGAACATTTGAGAAGACGGTAGGCTGAACGAAGTAACCTCTGGTGCCAAATCTGTCACCTCCACAATCAAGGGTTGCATTGCTTTCAATGCCTGACCTTATGTACCTAAGCTGGCTTAAGATTCGGTAAAACCAGTGAAAGCAAGCTGCAATAGTAGTGGCGATGGTTTAATCACTCGTATTCTAAAAACCACGAGATAATGAACAACGGCTAAGCCTATAATAAAATAATGCCCAATGTAAGTGGCAAATGCTCAGATTGGGTTCCAAAAGACCAGGTCGATTTGTGTCCACATAATTGATTAGGTTATCAACTCATCAAGCTATTAGATTCAACAGTTAACACCGTTATGCGTATAGAAATGATGAGCAAGGATGTTAAAGTTCAAAATATACCTAGTCCACATCCATATGGCTGGCAAGAGGCGCACCAACGGTTGGACCATGGCCAGAAACTATATTCAGAACACCTGGGGGAAGACCAGCCTATGAAATGATGCAATTTTGATTAGAAGCTCAAAAACCATAGTAAAGTAAGAACAGGAAAATAGAAAAATCATGCGGAACAATAATAGAGGAATTTGCAATATCCCAATTTATTAACTTGTATTTAGCATTTCTTTCATGTTTCATTGGCAATAAGTAACGAAGTGATTAATGAAATGCTTGGGAGTCGTTAACCCGATATTTTAGAACCTTCTGTATTTGCTAGAAGGCTGACGACATGCATCTATCCATAGTTTGCGATGACGATAAAATGATAGTCAAAAGGTTTGAAAATGACAATTATCCACTTTCTATCCAACTCTGTTAATAAATTCCGTTTAAAAAAGGATAATATAATAATTTTATATCTATTAATTTTAAATTCATCAATAAAATCCTAAACTTTTTTTATCATATTTTTTTATTTTATTTTTCTCTTCTCTCTCTTATCTTCTTCATCATCTCTCGCTTCTCTTTCTTTCTTTTTTCTCCGTCTTTTGACTCTTTTACCTCCTCCCCTTCTCTTTTTTACTTTTTCTTCTCCCTCTTTTTCCTTCTCTCTTTCCTTTCTTCTCCAGTTCTTCATCTTTTCCCTCCCCCCTTCTCTTTTTTCCTTTTCTTCTCCCTCTTTTCCCTTCTCTTTCTTTCCTTTCTTCTCCGTCTTTTCCCTCCTCCCTTCTCTTTTCTTCCTTTCTTCTCGGTCAGGACCTCCACCAGCTCCAAACCCGCCACCAGAACCACCAAATACAACCATCACCACCATCACAAACCACCACAAATTTCAAACACTTCCAACCCAAACTGTAAAAAGTTATAAAAATTTGAAAAAAAATTAAAAATTAAAAAACTGAAGAGGAAAAGACCACCAAATACAACCATCACCACCGCCACAAACCACCACAAGCTTCAGACACTTCCAACCCAAACCGTAAAAAATTATAAAATTTTGAAAAAATTTAAAAACTGGAGGAAAAGACGGGTTCTTGCCTAGCGACCAAAGGGAAAAGAGGGAGAAGCAAGTTAAAAAGACAAGGGGAAGAGGGAAAAGACAGAGAAGATAAGGAAAAAAAAGAACCAGAGGAGGGAAAAGATGGAGAAGAAAGGAAAGAAAGAGAAGGGAGAAGAAAAGGAAAAAAGAGAAGGGGAGGAGGGAAAAGAGGGAGAACCGGAGAAGAAAGGGAAGAAAGAGAAGGGAAAAGACGGAGAAGAAAAGTAAAAAAAGAGAAGGGAAGGAGGGAAAAGACAGAGGAAAAGAAAGAAAGAGAAGGGAGAGATGAAGAAGAAGATGAGAAAGAGAAGAGAAAAATGAAATAAAAAACTATGATAAAAAAATTTAGGGATTTATTGATTAATTTAAAATTAATGGGTATAAAATTACTATATTGGCCTTACTTAAACAAATTTTATTCACAGAGATGGACAGAAAGTGGGTAATTGTCATTTTCAAACCTTTTGAGTATCAAATTATCGTTATGGCAAACTATGGGTAGGTGCATGTCGTTCGGCCTTGCTAGAATCTTGTAATTAATATGGTAATTGGTAGATGGTAGTTGGTAGTGGTAGTTTGGAGTTAGCTAATCTCTACTGTTGATTGTGGAAGATCTAGACCGTCCATTGTAAGTTCCATCTACTATAAAAGTGGGAGACCTTCGTTTGGCCAAACCATCCAAGAATGGTAAAACATTCTCCTATTAATAAAGAGTTCTCTTCTAGCATCTCTTGTGAGTGAGTTTGTGTGAGTGTTCTCTTATTTGCAGGGCTAGAGGCTTGAGCGAGTAAGGCTGACTTAGGGCAATCGTCGAGTGATTGGCGCCTAAGGTCGCATGAGTCTGAAGAGAAACAATTGGGCCGTGACATTTGGTATCAAAGCAGACCTTATCCATCTTTTGATGTCCTGTCAAGCGCCCATGTAGGGGCGTCCACGTGTGATTGTGGGTCCACACGAGAATGAGGTGGACGGGTAGGCAGGAGGCTTAACCTGTGACAAGGGCGTCACAGGATTGGGTGGGAGAGAATGTAACGACTCCCACATCGGAAATGTATTGGGGAGGTCCTAGGCTTATAAATGGGGGAAGTCCCTCCACCTAAAAGGGTTAGCCTTTTGAGTGTGAAACTCACAACCCGTGATAAGTGGTATCAGAGCAGACCCGATTCGTCTTTCGATGTTTTGCTAAGCATCCATGTAGGGGCGTCCACGTGTAATTGTGGGTCTACACGAGGTGAGGTGGACGGGTAGGCAGGGACCTCACCTGTGACGAGGGCGTCACAAGATTGGGTGAGGGAGAATGTAATGAATCTCACATTAGAAGCATATTGGGGAGGTCCTGGGTTTATAAATGGGGGGAGTCCCTCCACCTAAAAAAGTTAGCATTTTGGGTGTGAAACTCTCAACTCCTGACACATGACAGTTGACAATGATACATACATATAGTTTGTGGAGAAAATGGTTGGTATTGAATGGACGAAAGCTTTTCATTGTATGTCTCATGATAGGAGGAGAGCTTGGTTAGCTCATCTGAGTCGAATGTACAGACTTCGTTAGTATCTTTATATTTCAAGTTTCTAAAACACCTTTTATTTTATTTTATATAGGTGGTTTTTTTTTTTTTTTTAATGAATGGGATGTTTTCAAGCTTTTGGAGAAAAGAGTTGTGGAATTCTTTGGCGAAGGGTATTTCAGATACAAATCATAAAGTTAACTGGAGGATAAANACTCCCAGCCCGTGACAAGTGGTATCAGAGCAGACTCGATCCGTCTTTCGATGTCCTGCTAAGCGTCCACGCAGGGACGTCCACGTGTGATTGTGGGTCTACACGAGAGTGAGGTGGACGGGTAGGCAGGGGGCCCCACTTGTGACGAGGGCGTCACAGGATTAGGTGAAGGAGAATGTAGCGAATCCCACATCGGAAGCGTATTGGAGAGGTCTTGGGCTTATAAATGGGGGGAGGATCTCCACCTAAAAGGGTTAGCCTTTTGGGTGTGAAACTCCCAACCCGTGACACATGGCTGTTGACAATGATACATACATACAGTTTGTGGAGAAAATGGTTGGTATTGAATGGACGAAAGCTTTTCATTGTATGTCTCATGATAGGAGGAGAGCTTGGTTAGCTCATCTGAGTAGAATGTACAGACTTCGTTAGTATCTTTATATTTCAAGTTTCTAAAACACCTTTTATTTTATTTTATATAGGTGGTTTTTTTTTTTTTTTTAATGAATGGGATGTTTTCAAGCTTTTGGAGAAAAGAGTTGTGGAATTCTTTGGCGAAAGGGTATTTCAGAGACAAATCATAAAGTTAACTGGAGGATTAAATAACAGTATTTTAGAGAATATCAAATAGATATTATGCAGAAATAAGCTTAATTTTTGGCGAAGTCTGATTGGCAATTCCATTCCAAGACAAGTCAAGCACATAATAAAAGACTTACAGAGTTACAGGTGTAGATGAATAGATTTGTGGTTTTCGGGAACAAGAAAGCATTTGTTAAGTGCAATAAAAGGGGCTGAGTTTTGAAAGAAACTGTCTACACTTGGCCAAGGATTTATCCGTGCGAGGAGACGGAAATTTCATCCAATTCTTCTTAACTTTTCAATTTTACATCAATGCCCTTATTCACAGCATCACCATCAATGCCTATAGATCAGTGTACAGTATCAAACAGATGTCTGGGAAATGCAGGCTATACTCTGGTTCATTTTGCCCCTAGTTTCATTCACTGCTTGCACACACCCAAAAAGAAAAAGAAAAAAGAAAAAATGTTCAAGTTATCGACATAATAGTCATCCAGTGGATTGGCCATGTGTTAAAAATTTAGAAAGGTTTTACACATTATGCTTTGGTGCTTAAGGTCAAGTTCTTTCAAGGAATGGATGAATTATGTGTTAATCGGCATAAACATAATGGCAATCAGGGCAGTCTTTAGAATAGAGGCATATGCTCCAGAACTAAATGTATTAAAACCATTATTTCATTAAAAACACAGCTCAAATAGCAAGTTTACAATGCAATTCACACCAAGATCTATACAAGACTCAAATCGCTTTATAGCCTAACAATAATACAAGGATGTTTCCCAATTTCTAATGCCAACCCAAATAATGCTATAATATATGATTGAAGCCGACTAAAATAAAGACAATGCTCACACATTTATAAACCTTTGATTAGACAAACAGCATAAGTCACTTTCACCAGTCTAATATCAGTCGGTTAAATGGAGCCAATACAAGCTCAAAACTACAGGAGCTGATCACTCAATTCTTTGATTTTGAATGCTTTACCAGCCAATCAATAACCGAATCAATGTTTGAAGAGTTCTTGCATGAAATCATGTAGCAGCAAACTTCTCTATCAGTAATAGACTTCAATCCCCTGCATAGCAAAATCACACTTTCATATCACACAATTCATTAATAAGTAGAACAATCATATATTGATAAACAAGTAAAAAGGGAAAATATATCTAGTTATTATTTATATTTTTTTCTTTTAGCTCCATTGTTTTGTAAGCTCAATCTCTCCGTGTCATTTGCTTATTTCATTGCCAGCCATACTGAGCATAAAGTCCATGTTCCACTTTGTCCTTGCTTTTAACAGTAAGACAATTTCATGAAAATGTGATATTGATGATGCCAGCAGAAAAAATCTTGACAAACCACATAGAAAAGTTTCTGATTTCTAGAATCACCACTTACATTTGTTCTGTCAGATCCTCTTTAGACAAGGCTTCTGGTTTATCAATCTTGTTTCCGAGAACCAGCAATGGGATGCCATTCAGTGAGGACTTACTTAACAAGTCATGGAGTTCACTTCTTGAAACATGCAAGTTCTCATAATCAGCAGCATCAACAACATAACTGCAAATTACAACATTGACATTAACATCTAAAGAACCAAGTAGTAAACCAAATCCAAATTACTAGTCCAATAAACAATCATTTCCCACACAGTCTGACAGATACTGCATTATGAAAGAAATATTACAATCTTATTTGAAAACAAACCTTAGATCATGAAAGCTTGAAAAATCACATGACTAGTTTACAAAAGCCTCATCAGTAAAAAGTTATTGAAACATCAAGCAAGTAAAAGTAAGAAAAGCAATGAATAACTTCATGTATATATACCATATAAAGGAAAGAGAAATAATTGGAATGTCAACTGAAAACAATGAGAAAATATGAGGGCTTTAGATCATGCAACTCTACTACTTAGGGCATATTAGACACAATGAGGCTGAAATAGGTTGTAACTAAATCTCTTCCAGCTTCCGGGTCCCCTTCTCACTTCTTGCAATCCCCAAGTAAAAAGGAATATGACACTAGAGTATAATTGATAATATCAAAGTAACGTGGCTCAGCTTGACCTAAAGCTGTAAAACTTCAAAATTGAAAAAACCAAATTTCCAAGAAAAAAATCAGGATGCATAGAACTTCCACTATTTCCAATATTGTTTAAAAGAAAGCAAGAAGGATATCAGCAAAACCGTTGATGTAGGAAGTTTCATCCAAAAGCAAAACTAAATACAGCAGCTCTATAAAGGAGTAGTTTAAAAAGGAAAAAAATAGGAAGACAATAATTTACATTAAGAATGAAGAAAAATAAGAGAAATTGAAATAATATGGACGAATAAGAATGATTCTGGAAAAAAACATAGTACTGAAATTTTGATAGCATTTGAAGGATTCAAGAAAAGTAGTCCAATTGCTTTAAATGAAACAAGAACATCTCACTGAAGCATTATTCCAGTGTAAAAGGCTTAATGCCCAAACTGATCAAGAGAAAATGAAAAGATTATGAGAGAAGATAATTAAAGATGATACTATGTAATAAGAATAAACTCTATAGAAATGCTTTTCCAGCATGTATAGAAGAAAACAAAGCAAATGAAAACAAGAAGCACAACCTGAAAAGAATAAGAAATATCCCATACAGGACAATAATTCAAAGAATTTATAAAAAATAAAAAAATGAAAATAAACAAACCTAATGTCAACCATCACTGACTTTAACTAAGAGTAAAAAAAAGGCATTGAATGTAAAAGTTAAGTAGGTTGAAGCTGGATCGCTATTTTGTTTGCGCCAGTAAGATGTTAATGACAGAAATGTTAGTTCTCAATTTCGCTCTAAATCTCATAAATAAAAAGGGGCTTCAAATTGTTATGGGAGAGAACCTCTAACAGTTGACAAGTTAAATTAGTAGAGATTCCTTAAAGAAACAATCTCCAAAAGAGTATTAAATTCATATGGTTTTAACAACAATGAATATTATAATCTTCCTTATACAGACAATGTGGATCAAAAAAGTGATCAACAAATTCAAAAGAATACATATGCAATGAAATACCAAACAAAACATAAATTATACATATGAAGAAACTAGACAACAGAACACGAAGGTCATCTTATAAAATTTTGAAAGAACTAAAGATGATGGAAAGGTTGCTAGGATATAGATGGACAGACAATATAAGTTTAAGGACATACACAATAGCTGAAACTGCACGGCAGTATCGCTCCCACATACTCCGAAACCTTGGTTGACCTCCAAGATCCCACAACTTTATTGTTACATTTCCTTTAGTCACCTTCCTCATATTAAATCCTACCTGAAGAGGAAAGATGATTAAACCAAAATGTCCACAGAAATAGACAGACTACAATAAAAAGTTGCCAAAATGCACATAAGTAGGCAAGGGTGTCTTTCAATGATTAAAAGAAAGGAAAAGGACAGTTCTTTTATAAGTTAACTCACCGTTGGGATCATGTCTTCACTGTATCCACCAGTCTGGGGATATGATTAAGAAAATAAATTCAGCCATCAGCATAAGAATTGAAAGAGACAGGAGAAAAACATACCATAAAGGACAATAAATCTCTCATACGAATATTCACTCACAGCTATAACATTCACAAGGGATGTTTTCCCAGCATTTTGAAGGCCTATCAAGGATAGCTCCATTTCTTGCTTAAAAAAGAGACTACAATCAGAAAAGAAAATAGTAAGCAATTGACAATTTCTTAAACAGAGGGCTGTTCCAAGGGGAATATATAAAGAAATAAATATAAATAAGTGTGTTTGATCTGGTATCTGAAAATTGATATGGAGACAGAAAATTCATTCTGCAAAAACTTCTTTAATTGAAAAAATCATTTAAACATGTTCTACAAAGTCCATATACTGAAGCCTCTGTTCTAGAATAAGCAGATACAAGAAACTGACTTATGTAAACCAACTTGTTAATCTGCAACATGTCCTTGATATACCAAAAATAGAGAAACCCCACATACTAGAGCCTCTGTTTGTGGATAAGTTAGTTCTTAGTATGAAGAGGCTCCTATTCCACAGTTAGATGAAGCTCGTGTTGTAGAGCTCCTACTCTAGACATAGATGAAGTTCACATACTAGAGCTTATTTGTAAGGATATATAAGAAGCTCCTTTAGTAATAGGAGATCGCTATAAGTAAGTTCACACATTAGAATTCCTAAGCTCCTATTATGGTCACACAAAAATATCAATACAAATGTGCTATATTCTATATGCTATTCCAAAAAACACTTTCAATGGCATTGCACCGCAACCAACACCATGTTTTACATAACTACAATAATTTAAAAACAATCACCACCTCATGAACATTCCAACACCTACACCATCAGCACAACTTCATTGTCATTGCTTCCACCACCACCACCACCACCACTAACTACCATCATCACTTCTTCACAGCAAACACCACTACAAGAACTGCAATGCCATAAAATAACTTCCAACACTGCTTTAACCTCATTCACAGTGCCGCCTCCACCACAAGGCTCATACAAACATATATCACATCCATCAATCAATCGTTAAAATTTCTTTCTAAACTAGTCGCCAAAATTAGCTAGCTAAAGGTCTTATAAATCAACTATCCCTTATAAGATGCTCGATTGATCATTCAACCAAGTCCATCGATACTTAACAAGGCAGAATCATAACAGATCTTCCTAATAATTTGAATTGTAACAAAAAATTTCTTCTTTTTTCTTTTTCCCAATCTTCAGACTCATAATTTATAAACCCTATATATCAAAATCAAAGTCAAATGATGCAAAATCCACACTAAAGCATGAATTCCACTAATCTAAATTTAAAAAAAAAAATTACAATTCAAATCAGTTCCTCCATTTTCTCAACAACCAATAAGAGAGAGCTTACCTTCGAAGCCAATTGAGGAAGGCTTCCCACAATCCCATTTCTTTATCTGATTAAAAAGAAAAAAAAAAAAATTAGGGTTTCGAATTGGAACTTAAAAGGAAGATGGTACAACTTTATCTTTGCTTTAGTTTCATTTCTTTTTTCTTCAATTCCCTCGCTATTTAAATCAAGAAATTAAATGATTACCATTTTTTTTTTTTCATTAAATCAAAACCGACAAATAATTTTAACAATAAATACAGACAAAGAATGTCTCCTCTTGTTTATTCACGCTCTGAGACAGGCGCGTTGTAGAATATAGCCAATGGTATTGGTTCTTTCAAAACAGATGGGAATCATAGGCGGAGAGAGTGGGACACGCGCGGGGGAGCTTAGGTGGGTAAGTAAGTACGACGTCGTTTGTTAACGATACATTAATCAGATGCAATCTCCAGGTTGTCACTTAGTGGAATTGCTTGACCAACCGTGTTTTCAAGTGATTCGCTGGGCGTTGGAGTTCATTTATTTATTTGCTATTTTTAATATAATATATTCAGATTAGATTAGACAAGATAAGATAAAAAATTGGAAAACTTAAAAAATTAATTATGATATAAATTACCTTAGAATAAAATTTTGTTACTGGCAAGAAAATTGAATTTCTCAAGAGATTATGAGTTTGAATCCCATAGTTGTTAATAGAGATAGTTACTGTATTTTTATTTGATCGATAATTTCAAAATCTAAAAAATTAGTTGAAATATACGTAAACTCACCTGAACACCATTAGTCATTAAGAAAAAAAAAAAGTGGATTTAAAAGAAATTTGATATTAATTATTTTTCTATAGATAGAAAAATTAAATACTAATTACCTGTCTGCTTCTCTGTTTTTTCACCTGCAAATGTATTTATAGCCTTTTAATTCTTATTACATAACTTCTTTTAATTCTAATTTAACAAGTTTTCCTAACTCTACTAACAATACTACTTTTATTTAAACTAATAAATCATACAACCCCTATTTTGTTTTTGTTTAAAATTATAAATTATTTATTATATTGAACTTTCCATAATTTTAAAGTCATAATTAAGACTTTGAATATGAAATTTATGATTAATTAATTAATTTTTCAACTCAAACAGTATGCATTCTAATCTCGACAATAATTAATAATAGAGACCTTTAATTAGTAAATTTGGTTTTATTTCCTCCCTATTGATGGTGAAGTTGAAGAAGCCTGGTGGATTGAGAGGGGATTGGCGAGGACAAAAGATGAACACTCCAGCTGGGACCATCTCTGATTTATCACGACCCCAGAAGGAAACATCCTGGAAGTCTCATTCTTTTACATCTTCCGCATAACTCCAACCCTCTGGCCTTTTAATCTCAATTCCAGTTTCACGCCATTTCTTCTTAGTTACTCTCACCTGCAGACTACTACCTATTTTTCTGCTACATTTTTAGCTTTAAGTAGCTTCACTGTTTTCTCTTCCTCCTATACTTGTGCTATATATATCTCTCTTTTCTCTTTGTATACTTCCTATAGTTTCAGTTATGGGAATCTTGCTGGAGATTTTTAATGGGGTGTGTGTGTGTGTTTCTACTCTATGGGATCTTCAGGAAATGCGTTTCGCAAACATTTTTGACGACGCAAGCTTCATTGCAATCACCATTATCATGGCCGGCGTCTCATGCGTTCTATCTTTTAGAGGCTACTGAACCTCGGATGATAAGGCATGCAGCTGGGGATTGGATTCATACTTTTTTTATTTTCTTTATACTTTTGTTTTTGTGCTTGAAAGAGATTACTGCAGTGCAGCTAGCCAGCCAGCGTCTTGTTAATAATGGTTTAGATTCTCTCTGCAGCCACTAGAAATTTCTTGTATTTATGATCTTTGTCAATATCGATCTTACTTGGATTGTTTCTTTCTTATTAATTCAATCCACATGCTTTCTGAATTTCTCCATACTTTATCCACTAATGATTTTCTCACGTCATTTGTATAATTATATTTATATATCATATCTAAACTCTCTCTTGTTTAATACATACCCTCCATTATTCTATAAAGTATAAAATATCACACACTTTACTTGAGAAATATGTGGTGTAGAAAATGTATCTCTCTTCAGTTTTCATCGTCTCCGGGTCTTTCAAATTTTTTACATAAAATTTTATTGTATTTGTTTGACTCCATGACATTACACTTTTAATGAAAAACTCTCCTCCATGCTGAAACTTAAGCTATTACATGAAGTATAAACGTTTAGCAAAGTTCGGTTTTCCTTTAACACTAGGGATTTTTTTAATTAAACTTCAGATTTTGAATTCCACAAAGATACAGGAGGTTAATGAAATGTGTTTAAATACAGTGATAAAAAAAATATGGGATAAATTTAGACTTTATTTTAGAGGCAAACCATATTGTAGGAACCAAATTTGGTTTATTTTTGGGCTTGTGTTTTGGATATGGATAATGCGAGAATGGGCTCACATTAAAGGACTGCATGGCCAAACCCGGCAAAGAAAAGGAAAGGGAAGTGATTTTTTAGCCCCCATTATTTTGCTTTAGTCCCCATCTAACTGTTTAAGTTGGGATATAATTATAATAAGAAAAGAGTTCTTCTTTTTCTTCTTCCATACTTTTACTTTTACTTTAAATTTTTATATTTGTAGTTATCAAATTTAAATTAATATGATTTAATAATAAAAACATGAGACAAAATAAATCAGACCATGTATCACAAATTTCTTTAATGAAAATTTTAATATTGTTTTAATTGTATATTGACGGGCCTTACAATACAACTTTGAGTTTTTTCAAAAATTTGTTTCTAATGGGTCTAGCTTTATATTGATTGATTTGGTCTTGTGCTTTATTGTTAATTCTGATTTATTTAAATTTACTTTCAATTTTTTTATGAGTGATGCGATGCCACATTTCTCCACATTTTATCTTTTAAGACCCCACTTCTAAGTTTATTATCCCATTAAAATGTTTTAGGATATGCAAATATCTTTATAAACACCATGCACTTCCAAAAATGCCCTTATATATATATATATATATATATTAAGTTTCTTGTTTTGAATGTAATGTTTAGAGATAAAATTCATTCACATGTGTTTTTACTTCCAAGAATGTAAGAATAATGATGAAAGAGTATGCATCAATTTAACTTATAAATTTTGGAGAAGTGTAGAAGAAGGAAAATAACAAAACAAAGAATTTAATATTTACATTGATTTAGTTTGTTAAAAGAGTCAACTCTAAATCCAAGGCATGTTAATAACTTAGTTGCTTATAAATAATCATCTCTTGCTCTTTTATTATTAAAGGGATATGAGCTTGAGAAGTCATGTTAGATCTTTTTTTTTATTATTTTATCATTAAGGAGACCCAAATTTGTAAAACCATATTAGATCTTCTTATACTCTTTTACCATCAAGTCATCCAATAGTGATTAATTTAGACTAAGTTCTTTAACTCTAAACAACCCAACACAGCCGGTTGAATATCTTAAAATATCTATCTTATCCTAGCTGGAGAAGGGTAACAAAACATTGATAATTTCTGAGAATTAATAATGTACAAAACGGTGAACCATAAACTTATGTGAATGTTATTTTAGATTCAACTTATACTTAAAAACTATTTGAACTAACTGCAATGAAATTGAAAGCGTTTTGTTTTTTTTCAAGGGGAACTGGTTGAATGAAGAATAAGAAATAGATAGTTGTATATATTCAAGTGCACAGAATATAGGCAATATTTGTATTTCTAATGCTTTCCAAAGTTTGACAATTATTTATTGTTGCAGTATTCTTGAGAATATTGCTTTACCTTTCCATTATAAGATAAGATGGCCATATCATTGACATACTTAACTATATTCTGCATCAGGGCGATTCAGAATCTGGCATCTACCTGAACATGAACTATTCCTGGAGGAAGGTCTTTTGTCACCTTGAAATGGATAGAAGTGGAAGAGTTTGAAACCGGGTGTTGGACAGTTACATTATAATCTCCATGAAACAAAGAAATTTCAAAGGATCCTCCACTATCTGAAATAGTTTCAAGTGTCTCACATTTCCATTCTGCAAGCAATTTGTCCACAACATCTCCAGCTAGAGTATTCCTGAAGTCTATGTCTACTAGAGGCATTTCCTTAAAACCAGCACTTTCTGGCCCTGCAAATGTGATAATCCCTTCAACTGCAGGATAAGAGTAAGCCTCCCTCAGAACCTCCTCCAAGTATTGTGACTGCCAAGAAAAGTAATTAATTTCACATTCATAACTTGGAAGTACTAGCGTCAACTGTGTACAAATTCATTTTAATGGTGAAAATACCTGATTTGTGCCATTTCCCACACTAACTTCAGTGTACCATATAGGCAATCGTGTCGAAGCCAGAATGTCTAACGAAGATCTCATATAAGCAAGGTCTGGCGGATTATCACCATCAAAACGGCCTTGCACTCCAATTCCTAATAGCATATCAGCATTTCCAGGAAATGACCGAATTTCCTCAAGTTTCTTCTTGTAGTTGATTGCATTTGGTGGCTCATCTTCAGCACACTCAGTGGTGTTATACTCATTCATGAACATGGTTGTCTTCGGATCAAGCTGGTACGCCTTCTTATAGAATTCTGCCGAAGCATTTTCGCCAAGTTTATCTTCGAAGAACCTGAAATGCAGATTCTCATTTACTACATCCCAAGCAATTAATTGTCCTGCATATCTTGTAACCACTGAATTTATTCTTTTCGCCGCTGCTTTTCGCAACTCCTTGGGAGAAAGAGTCTTAACCCAGTCAGGCTGATACTTGGGGTCATCCCACAATATGTTGTGACCTCTTATAGAAATGCCATTCTGTTTGGCGAATTTCACCATGGCATCAGCAATAGTATAGTTTTCTTGTCCTTGTTTTCCCTCTGTGCTATACCATTTCATTGCATTTGTGAAAGTAGTGAACTTGAATCTTGAGGCAAACCAGTTCTGGTAATCTGTGCTTGTGAGGATTTTCTGATTCATGCCGCATCCAAAAGGGAAGCCGGAATTGGTTTGTTTGATGGAAACTATAGCAGCGTCCAATGCAGTTTTATTTGCATGCTTTAATTGGAACTTCACCTTGCGCTTGCGCACCTACGACTTTCAAGTTCAAACAGGTATTGAATTCTAGGTAAAATGATGTATGTCAAATGGTTTGATAAATGTGTGTGTTCATGTTGTTACCTTTTCAATGCTTTTTTCTTGGTGGGATCTCCATTGCTGCTTAGTGAAGGGCTGTAATGAGATGTTATCAGCCCATATTTCCACTTTCGTATTCTTGCTCTGTTTTCACGAAAAGAAAACCTTGTGTCAATTCAGATTTGAAGAGAAGTCATATTGTATTTATTATATCTTTTTCTTGCTAAAAATTAGTCATAAAATTGGACTATTTCATAATGAATGGATGTACAGGAAAATAGAAGAAAAAGACATCCTATGCACTTTACCTTAAGAAAAATCTCCATAACGCTTGTGAAATTGGGAAGTAGGCCACCTTTGAGCAAAGACCAGCAGCCATGCTTGGCTATAACTTTACCCCCAGGTATCAGTTTGCCATCAGAAGTCTTAAATACAGCCAGAACAGTCTCATTTCCTTCACTGACTTGAACCCAAGCTGAAAATTCAATTTATAACATAATTTATTGCCTTTCTGACACCAAAATTATATCATGGTATTATCCAATTTATATCGATCAATGAGTAAATAAAGTAAAGAAATGCCCTGAATTTGACAGAATGGGGACGATTTACCAGAAAAACTATAAAATAGTCCTTTCTCAAGTTGAACCTTCTGGGAGAAACTGTCAAGGGACTGTGTTCTACTGTGTGCCGCAATATACTTATTGCCATCTTTTGATATTCCTTGTCTTATCGCTCCTTGTCCAAACACGGTCCAACCTTCAATCCCATTATTAAATTCTGGATTAACAATCAGTCCCCCACCATAATGCGGTCTCCAGGGCTCCGCCAGGCACTGTTATCATAAGGTGTTTCAGTAAGTACTTGTCAAAAATTATTATTAACAAAAGCACTTGTCCAGGCAATTATTGTTACTTTATGAATGTTTTCTGCGGAGTTTCATAACCTTTAACTGTAAAATCTAGTAATTTTATAATTCTATTATGAAGAAATATTTTCTTGCCTCTGTTGTGGCAGAGTAGTCGTAAGACAAAGCATGGATCCCATTCCCTGCATCAGTTGAAAATGATCTCATAAGCAGAAACAATCACATATTATCACTAATTCGGATGCATAGTTCAAAGGTGCTTCCAAAATGTCTCCACAATTGCTAAAACGACACATATATGCATTTTTTTTCTTATAAAAAGAAATGGTGATTCGTGGGGAGAGTTATATACCTGAATAAAACAAAATGCATAGAAGTTGAAGCACTAAAATGCAGGTTTTAGCAGTTATCTTCATCTTCAACAACTCATTGAAGCCTTCCGTACACAGAAAAATCACTCCCAATGAAGTCAAGGAACTCCACTGGTTTATGTATATAAAAAAGTAGAGTACTGTTAAAAGCGTGCATTATTAAAAATATCAGAGACATGTGAATGAATGGGACGCTAAGATCACGCACAATTCAGATTCTGAGTTCCCTTTGCTGTCCAGTGAAGCAGATTTGGAGTTAACCTAAAAGTTGAATAAAAAATTGGACCCCACTTTGTATATAAATTATAGATTACTTAATTGTGTCGGTGGTGTCTGCATGCATTTGGCTAAAAAAATTAGTACAAAAGGTAGAAGTAGAACGAGTTATGGCGTATATGGACATAAACAACTAACTATTATTTGACCTAATTGTCACGTGTTTCCTTGAGTCGCTAGCTATGTATCTTGGGACTTGGATACCCTGCATTTTCATTAATTACTTAATTGGCTAATGGGATTAATTAATATTAAAACCTAATATTTAACTTAATCATAAGTAGCCTACTTCCTAACTGGTGATTTTGTAGTTTCATTAATCATAAGTAGGCCTAGATCCTAACTCTATCACTTACCGTCAAAGTCAACATTAACTGTTTTCCTAATTAACAAATATATATATATTGATTTATAACCGGATAAACATACGTGTATCTTAAATAATATTTTTTTTAGATAATTGAAAGCGTTCGGACTAATTTATGCATATCTCAACTAATCTTTTAAAACTCTGAAACTACCAACCAGTTAAGAGCTCTAATGACCACTTTTATTAGAGGTTATGGGAAGTCAAACTCAGAAAACCATATTAGATCTTCCTCTTATTCTTTTATCATCAAAGAAACTTGAACTTGAGAAATTATGTTAGATGTTTTTTGCTTTTTTACTATCAAATTAGCTAGTGATGGTTAACAACCCTTGGGGGACGTTTGGTTCAGGAATGTTAGATTACTAGGAATATTGGATTACTGGAAAGATATATTACTTTGGAAGATTACTGGGAATCTTTAAGAAAATATGTTTGGTTAGTTGGTGGGTATGTTATATTAATATGTTTGGTTATGGGGAATAAATTGGTGGGTATGTTATTTAAATTACTAAATTGTCCTCCTTTTAAATATTAATATAATATTTTTTTATTATTAATTTTTGAATAATTTTTTTAACCCCCAATATTTCAGATTTAGCTAAAACACCCCCGCTTATATAAAACTTTAATTTATGACGAAATCACCCCCACCTCCTGTCGCCACCGCGAACCATCGCCAGGAAATTGCCGGAGTCCCTAAAAAAGAAGGAAGTTCCGGCCATAGCGAAGCCTCCCACATAATTTCCTTCTTTTTTAGGGACTCTGACGATTTTTCGGCGGTGGTCCGTGGTGGTTGGCCTGCTGTCGGCGGTGGTGGCTGGGTGGTAGTGGGTATCTGTAAATAATTTTAAATATAAGGGCATTATTGTCCAAAATTTTAATTAAACAAGGGTAAAATTGAAATAGGATATTAATGTAATGTTTTTAAAGTAGGGGTATTATTGTCCAAAATTTTTATATAAGGGATAAAATTGTAACAAAAAAGATAACCTTGATAATCTCATAATACCTAAGAAAAGAGAGTAATCAAATTACTTTTAATATTACCAATAGTACCACTATTGGTATTAAAGATTATCGGTATTTTATATTATTGATAATAAAATTAATAATCAAGTAATATAAGATGACATTACCTCATAATCCCACTTAACCCCAACTAATGCCCCTTGATATTATCCTCATGAAAAGTCCCTGTTAGCATTGATTGGGTGAAGATCCATGTATTTAGAATTGTAAAGCAACCGGGTTCGGCCTCACAAGTCGTTTTAAATTCTCAACTCCTTACTGTTTAGAAAGTACTTTCCCCGTAAAGTTTTCATTTCAAAATCCTTATCAAATTCTTGTTGTATACCATTTATAACTTAAAAGAGACATATTACATAACCCAAAATTACCCACACTTTTTTTATTTCTCCTTTCTACGCATTTCTCTATCAAATTCAAAATTAAAAAGAAGAGTAATGTTTATATTTACACAACCTATTACATTATTTTCATTACATCATCACAATTTTACTAATAATTATTTATTATAATATTAAAATTCAAATAATTAAAAATTGATGTGATGTGGGATATACCATATTATGGTGTAATGAAAATAGTGTAATAGATAGTATAATAACGTTACTCTAAGGGGGCGTTTGGTTACATATGTCAAAGTTTGGGGTAATGTCATCTTATATTACTTGATTACGACTGTTGTTGTCAAGTAATATAAGATTCCGGTAATCTTAATACCATAGTAGTCACTATTGATAATATTGAGGTAATCTGATTACTCTATTTTCTTAGGTATTCTGAGATTACTAGGGTTACTTTTTTTTGTTACATTTTATCCTTATTAATAAAAATTTGGACAATAATGCCCTCATTTTAAAATATTTACATAATATCCTATTTCAATTTTACCCTATTTAACTAAAATTTTGGACAATAAGTCCTTGTATTTAAAACAATTACAGACCACTGCCACTCAGCCACCACCACCACCACCACTGTCACCCAGCCACCCCGCCTACAGCAGCCAACACCATGGACCGCCTCCGAAAACCACCGAGTCCCAAAAAAAGAACGATTTTCAGTGGGAGGCTCCGGGAGTCAGCGATATGGCCGTTCGGCATATTATGGCCGAAAACGGCCATATCAGGCAGATCTGCCAATCTACTCTGGCCATTTCCGGCCAATCGTGGATCTGGTGTTAATGGCCAGATCTGAGTGAGATCTGGCCGTTAACGGCCACGACTGCTGCCGTTAACGGCCAGATCTCACTAATCTGTCCGATAATGGTCAACTTGCCATTAACGGCCAGACCACATCTGGCCTGATATGGCCTTTTTCGGCCATCAATATGGCCGGAAACGGCCATATCGAAGCCTCTTGTCACGGTGATTGCTGATGGGGACTTTGGAGACTTCGGCGGTGATCTGCGGTGGCGACAAGAGGTGGGGTGATTTCGTAATAAACAAGTTTTATATAGCAGGGGTGTTTTAACTAAATCTGAAATATTGGAGGTTAAAGAAATTATTCAAAATTAATAGTAAAATAATATTAATATTTGTAAAGGGGACATTTAGTAATTAAAATAACATACCTACCATTTATTCCCCATAACCACCATATTAATAATAACCCCAACTAACCAATATTTCTTAAAGATTTCCAATAATATTTCAAGGTAATCTATCTTTTCATAATCCAATATTCTCATAATCTAATATTCTGAACCAAACCCCTAAAAAGAGTGTCATTAAATTCAGTTCCCCACCACTCGAAATCTCCAGTGACTCTGAGTAAAACCAATCACCCAAATTTTCGTCCAGCTATGTGCAACCACATGTCATCGAGATCCACTGTTGGTTTTAAGAAAGTTGGCTTTTCAAAGGATTGTTCTGATATGTTTTCTTTCCCCATTTTTTTTTTTAATTTCAGAGCCTGAAGTTTGCGTAGATAATGTTGTTTAATAATATTATTTCCGAAAAAATAGAAAATTGGGAGTGAAAGAACTCACGTGCTAAGGGAGGAAGCTGTTTTCTCTTTACTAAAAATTTTACAAAATTTCGTGTTCTTCATTCTCTTTCTAACAAAATCCTACATCTATAAGAAATTGAAATCCTTTTTAATATCAAAGTGTCAATTCATCTCTGTTAGTTCTTATTCTAACTCATTACGATACAATTCAAATTTTATTTCTTCATTTTTTTTTTTTTTGAGTTATCAAATGGTTGTTTATGTGCTATTTCATTTTTAATGTTCATATTTAGCCACAAAAAAGCATACCAAATACATTTTCAAAATGTTAAAATTTATAATTTGAATTCATGTTTATATGTTTTTTTTTTTAAATATTTTCTTAAGACAGAACAAAATTCATAAAAAAACAACGTCCCGTGTAGATTTGACAAAAGGTCATTGACAGTCAAAGAGGTTGGGTCTATTGACTGGCTGGCTAGTTCTTGAACCCTATACTTTGCTTCACGTAAATAGTGTTAGACTGTCAGAATCTTCAACAAGAAATCCAGAGCATCTGCACCAATTCCTCACTCCATCCTTCTGTTACTAATTCAAATGTCCTGTTAGCGTAACTTTCTGTACAAATGTGTATTTGATTGTTTCCTTATTTTGCTCATATTTGTTTCCTTATTATACGCTTGACATTTCATGTACAGCTAAATATAATGGAAAACTACACGGCTTAAGGTGTTAGCCAAGCCAAAGTATCTCTTGTGTTCATCTTCTGTTGATTGTTAAGATCTTACATGGTATCAGCCTAACATCCTATAAGCCACGCTTTTCAAAATGATCCTTTCTCTAGCTCGCATCATCCAAATGGTCCAACAACAACGACACCTCCATCCCTGAACCTATCCTACCACCACTATTTCTGTTAAGCTAGGCGCTCCCACAATTATTTGCATGGAAAATGGAGTTCCTTAATCTCCTCTGAGGACACGACTTAGTTGGCTTCATTGATGGTACTGAAGCTTGTCCTCCAAAAATATTCCTCTGGTTCATAAATCATGCCTATGTTGTTGGCAGAAGAAAGATGTTTGTCTCCTTGGATGGATCCTGCATCTCTTTCGGAAAACTGTTTCCACTGTTTATGGTTGGAAACGTCTAAGCAAGTCTGGACTGCCCTGTAGACTCCGCTTTTCTTCTCAATCGCGTTCCGAATTTCCCATCTTAAACGTCAACTTCAAACATTGACCCAAGGTACCAAATCCTGTTCCGAGTACTAAAATGCCAAAAGTCTTGTAGATCAATTGGTAGTAGCGTAAGCCTGTTGATATCAAGACTTGATCTCCTTTCTTCTTGGTGGCCCTATCTCCTACACACCGTTGTCACCTCTTTTAATTTTGCATCCCGTGAAACTGACTTCACATTCGAAACTTTCAAGCCGAATTGCTGGGCTAGGAAATCTTCTGATGTCAATCACTCTGTTCCTGGCACAGATAGTCCTCACTTTGCATTTGCTGCAAAC